TATTCATAATGTTCCACTTGCCATGACATTGCAACAAATCTGTTAAACGAACCGTAGTTTGAAAGAAAATAAATGTAGGTCAAAAGATAAGGAATGGCCACAATGAGGCATCCATGCCTTGTGAAAAAACATAGTGAACTGCAATTGACTTCAAATATGTACACGAGCGGTATAAATACACAGGCTGACAGTTAGTGAACACTCTGCTTATCCTCCAGCTTTCGCTTAATGAGGGCCTTAAACTGGGCCTGTAACTTTGCTTCTCGTTTTGCCCGCTCAGCATGGTTGAAGTGTTCGAGGGCCCGTTTTTCATCCGCAGAGTAAATCTGATTTTCTTTACGCAAACGCACGGCCTCCATGCGTCGGTGCCGACTACCTGACATAACAAAGCCGGCAGCCTCATATTTTTCGATTTCATCGCAAGTTAGCCCTATTTCACCACGCCTGGGAATACGCTTGCCCTCAGCGATGTAAGCTGCCATTGCAGCACCCTCACCAGGAAGGAGGGCCTTGCCATAATCGAGCGGCAATCTGGAAGCAGAGTTATCAGCAGAGGGCAAGACAGGACCGATACACTCATTCGTGTCCTGCTGCTCGGCTCGCAAGCGCTCCAACTCACGCTTCTTTTGTTTCATCTGACGAATAAACTGCTTCTGCTCATCATCGGTGTCCTCTTCCGTAGACGATTGCTCAGAGTCATCTGAGTCACTAGTGGAGGATCCGTTGCTGCTAGAGGAAGAGCAATGCCTATCGTGTTTCTTGTGTTTAGAATGTCGTTTCGTTTTCTTGTTTTTGCCGCTCTTTCTTGTATGCTTATGAGATTCGTACTTTTTGGACTTCTTAGATGTATTCTTGCCTCTGTCCTGACTAGAAGTACGGCTGGAAGATGATCTGTAACTACTATCGCTGGAGCAGGATGAGGGAGATGATGGGGACGAAGATAAAGAGGGGGGTGAAGAATTACCATTTAGGGGAGGAGTTTTCCCAACCAGATTATCACTGGTTTGCAACTCTTCGGAAGTTTGCTCGCCATTAAGAGTAGCTAAATTGATTGTTGGTCCCTCAGGTAGAACTTCTTCTTGATATGGCTGTGGAGGCGTTCTAGCCCATACAATGATGTTGGGCTCTGCACCAGCACGATCCCTCACTGCCCGGCGACGCTCCCAGTATTTCGAAGTCTGATAATCCGTTTCGTATGGCCTGAATTGCTTTCTTTGATCGAGTTCCCGCTGTTTGCGCCAGTCGGGTGGGGAATTTGATTTTTCACGTGAGTTTTCTACATGAGGGGAAAGTGATCTCGAGTGAGATCTCGATCTCCAATTTCCTCGACGGTGCCCTGGAGAATCATTATATCGTTTTTCGCGTCTATGACGCTGAGGAGTTGCCGAACGTTGGCGTCTCTCTCGTGTACGCCGACTTCGTCTGGAAGAGCTGAATGGAGATCTTGAGCGGCGCTTAGGGTGATAAATCCTCATTATTGATTATCTATGAAGCAAGTAACACAAGCAGGGTCCAGCTGGAATTATTTTGGTGAACCTAATGAAAAATTAGATTTTAATACCGTCAATAGAGAAAAAAGGATCTTTATTTCAGTGGTGAGACTAATATATCTCATCATGTAATAGTCTGTTTTATGAAATGATGAGTTTATTTATACTATTCGATGGGTTCCAGGAACAACTCCACTTAGAATATATATGATTACTATAAATAAAGCAAGCTAACATCAAAAGGTATCGGGATTAGAAACCTTATAATGAGCTGCACGACTTTTTTAACCATTAAAAAAAAAAGAAAAGGCATGAATATTTACCATTTTTAACTAAAGAACCAATCCGATTAAAATCAAAACAACAAAGTAAAATTTTGTAAATGTCCCAATAACAGAGCCAAAGTACTAGCTTCTCGCATGTCTAGCTTTAGCTTACAAAGCCTCATATCTAACTGTGAAATGAGGAAGTCTTTTTGTGTAGGATCCTTAGAACAATCATAATCCTACTTGGGAATTATAACCTAATTCTTAAAACTAGTCGTTAAAATATTGTTTAGAAGCGCACTTCCATACTGGAATTTTAATCCATTTTTTACTGCGCATCATGCGGCCAAAGATATGACTAGCGATGGGTCGTTAAGCAATGCTTAGTGGATAGAAGACTAGACTTGAATCTTAGAGAGCAGCATGAACAGCGGAAGAAGATGCGTTATGTGCTCACCTCTTTTTTATTGTTTGTCATCATGTCTACATTTTTCAATGTCAACACGGAAACATTGTGCGAATTTCAATAGCTTATCCGGTAAATTATTCGATGTAAAAAGACATCAAAGAAATAAGAATAATAACTTGCTTTAGCAAGCATGAAATATAGGAAATAAGTA